ATGGCTCCGGCAGCCCCGGAGAGCCCTGCTAATCCCCAGCACCTGCTGGTGGCCCACCCCGCGTGGTCCCCGTCACCCCCCCGCCGCGGTGGGGACACCGGTGGGGCCGTGCCCTCGGTGCCCGCCGGGACGGGTGCCATTTCATCAGCCCCATGGCTTTACCAACAGCCACTGAAAAATTGGCTGTAGAAAATGTGGTTTAGCCAAGGGATGGCTCCTCGGGCAGTGGCACAGCCCCGGGGCTTCACCTTGTCCCCTGGGCAAGGGGTGACCGTGGAGGGGACACAATTTGTCCCTGGGGACAACATGCCTTGGCCAGGATGGGTCCCCAGGGGCCACCTCTCATTGCCCCCCACCAGCGCTGTGACCCCAGGGGGGTGCTCAGGGGTGTTGTGGTCGCCTGTGGGTGTTGTGTCTTGGGGCCATAGAGCCCCCCCAGTGATTTTTAACCCCTTCCCTGCCACACAGGATCCCCCCCCCCCCATCTCCTCCCCATCCCCAGATGCGGAGCGGCTGCTGCGGCGCCGGGGAGCTGCGCCGCGAATATGTTACACAAATGAATAATAAAAACAAAGGAAAATTACCCTCTTTATTGAAACTCGTTTTATGAATAAAACAATTATTCTGGTAATTGAAAAAATGTGTCGTTAAATTAAATGCAGTGGTTCCTATTAAAATTTTAGTGGATTTCTTCTTCTCTGTTTCTTTTTTCCCCCCTTTTTCCTTCCCTCCCTCCCTGCCTCCCTCCGCTGGCGGCTAAAGGCTGGTAATTATAGCGGAGGGTTTCGCTTTCTCTTTATTGTTTTTTAATCTCTTCGTGCTGCGGAGTGCCAGCGATAGTCTGATGCAGAAGAGATTTAGCTTCATCTCCCCGTGCTGGGGGGGGGACATGCGGGGGGGCTTAGGGAGGCTTGGTGGCAGTGCCAGGTGGCCATGCCAGCGTCCCCCCGGTGTGCTGCCATCCTGCTGTCCGGGCAGTGATGCCCTGGAAGGGACAGAGGAGCCTTGTAAAGCCTGGGGGACTGGGGACACAGCTCTGTCCCCCCTCCCGTGGTCCAGGTGGGGTGCAGGCAGAGGAGCAATCCCTCCCCCTGGATGCCTTGGATGCATCTTGGCCAGGCCAAAGAGGGGCTTGTGGGGAGGTGATTGTGTTATTTTCTCCCAGTCTGGTGTTGGTGTGGGGTGGCTGAGGTGATGGGCACGGTGATGGGTACTGGTACCCAGTGGTGGTTGGGCTCAGGGCATCCCACCAGCTGCCCGGCGCATCCCGCTGTTCATCACCCTGATTCATATCAATTAGCGGGAACGTATGCTGGGTTCATCAGCTTCCAATTAGCGAGCTGGGGAGGGGAGAGGCTGGATGTCACCTCCTGTCCCCGAGGGGCAGCGGGGTGGTGATGCTGTGCGGAACGAGGGCTGAACCCAGGCATGTTGGGGGGCCGTGGTTGTCCCCCCCCTTGCTGTCACCGTGCCAGCGCTCCTGCCAGGCATCCACAGCCGAGATGGGAGAAGGACCCAGGTGTCCCCAGGAGCTGCTGGTCCTTTGCTGGGGGCAGGCAGCAGTGGGGCAGAGCCATGGGGACCCCTTGTCTCTGCTTGCTGGGTTTTGCCG